AAACAGAAAAATGATCCATAAAAATCTCAAGAAAATATTCAACCATATCACTAAATATACTGAGCATGCATCTTTAAAACGAGGCTGGTGCATTATATAATCCAAAAGGCATCTTTTTATATGAAAAAGTACCAAATAAACATATGAAAGTAGTCTTCTCTTGATCTTCCAATGCAATTTTAATTTAATTGTAACTTGAATAGCCATCTAGGAAACAATAAAATTCATGACCTGCAACTCTTTCTAGGATTTGGTCCATGAAAGGTAAAGGAAAATGATCTTTTCTAATCATTGAATTAAGTTTCTTATAGTCAATCCATATGCGTCAACCAGTAACAGTCCTAGAGTTAGCTTATTGTTCTCATTTGTTATCGCAGTGACTGTAGACTTTTTGGGTACAATTTGAGTAGGACTTACCCATTTGCTATCAGAAATAGGATAAATGATTCCATTATCTAGAAATTTAATGACTTTATTTTTAACTATTTTTTTATATTACGATTAAGCCTTTGTTGCATTTCTCTATAGGGTTTGGCATTTTCCTTAAAATGAATTATGTGTGTGCAAATCAAATGACTAATTCATTTTATGTCAGCAATGGTCCATCCTAATGTATTTTTATGCATTTTTAGAGTTTGTAATTACTTACCTTCTTGATGAGCATTAAGTTTGGAAGAGATTATTACCGGAGAAGTTTTATTTTTTCAAAAAAATGAGTATTTGAGATTGACTTGTAACGGCTTCAAATCAGGTTTGTGTGGTTAAACACTTGAAGGTGTGGACTTAATTGATCGTGGTGGCAATTCCTCAATTTTCGTCTCCAATTACTTACCTTTGATTCTTCTTGAAAATAAACTATTTGCAAATCATCAAATTCATCAATCTTAGTTTCGCTGAAAGTGGTTTGAAATTGATCATGAACTAATTTTTTTGGTTCATTGTCATCTCTAGGTTGCTTGCAAATATTGAAAACATTCATCTCCAATGTCATGTTTTCAAAAGATAGCTTCATCAGTCCATTCCTACAATTAATCAATGCATTAGAAGTTAAGAGAAACAAACATCCTAAAATAACAGGAAATTAATTATATGCTTCAATAGGTTATGTGTCTAAAATAATAAAATTCATAGGATAACTGAATTAATTGACTTGTATTAACACATCTTCAACTATTCCTCTAGGCACTTTTACAAATCTATCGGCAAGTAAAAGAGTTACAGAAGTTGGTTTTAACTCACATAGATTGAGACTCTGAAAAACTGAATATGAAAGTAAATTCACACTAGCTCCAAGATCAAGTAAGGGTCTTTTAATTTTATGTTCTCCAATAAAGCTAGAAATTGTAGGACAATCAGGGTTTTTATATTTCAAAGCATTATTGTTTTGAAGAATGACACTTACTTGTTCTGCTAAAAAAGCTTTTCTTTTCATATTTAGTTTTCTCTTCATAGTGCACAAAAAGTGGGTTTTTCAATAACTTTACCATTGCAAAGAGTGATGACTGATTTGACTTGATCCAAGTGTTGGCTTCTAAAACTACTTGCATTTGCATTGTATTACCCCATAGGATTTTATTGTGGCTAAGATGGAAACTTACCTTGCTCTTGAAAACTGAGAGCAGATGTTAACTTTATAAAAATATATTTAAAATCTGTCATGTTTTGAGCAATTTGAGTATTGATTGTCTCTTGCTTTTCAATGAATACATGTAATGTTTCTACAAGATTTCTTCTACGAGGTGGAACATAAGGAGGTGCATATCTATGAGCATTTTACAAAATTATGGTGTGTTTGAAACAATGGTTATAAAGTTTATGCATTGTTATTATTACTCTTTCAACTGAAATTTGGATGATTTCTCTAAACAGGGTTGTATGTTTGCAAATATGGGTTATGATTGGGCCTTTGAAAACTATTTAAAGTATTGGCTTATTCATGGAGATATTTTTTAAAAGAAGGTAAAGTTAGACAATCATTGGTTGAGTGTTTATTGGTTTTATAGATTTGACACACAATGTCTTGAACAAATTTTAATTAACCACTTTTTTTTAATTCTAATGCCTCGACTTTTCTAGCTAAAGATGCAAACTTCACTTGGATATCATGATCTTCCTTAAAGTTGTACATACCTCCACTAGATGTATGAGGTTGAGTTTTACCCGGTGTCTTATAAGTATTTGCAGTGTCCTAATTTTGAGAATTTTTGCTAACAAGTCTAAGTGCTTCGTTGCTTCATCAAGGTCCTTATCTTCAAAAGTTTCATTACACATCAATTCCGTTATTTGCCTATCTTTAAGTGTTAATCCTTTATAAAAATATGAAATCAATCTCCATGTTTCAAAACCAAGATGAGGGAAAGTATTAAGTAAGTCTTGATATCTATCCCAATATTGGTAAAATGTTTCTCCTGATTTTGAGTGAAAGTGGTGATTTATCTTTTGAAAGAGTTTGTTCTATGAGAAGGAAAAAACTTTTTAAAAAACTATTGTTGCATTTAATCTCAAGCAAGAATAGATCCTGGTCTCAAATTTTATAGCCATGTTTTAGCTTTATCTTTTAATGAAAAAGAAAAAGCTTTAATCTGATGGTATTCATACTACAATTTGAGTCACTATACTTGTTATAGACCTCCTTAAATTCCCTTAAATGCAAGTATAGATTTTCTAAATCTAAACCATGAAAAAAAGGTAAAAGTTAAATAATGTCGGGTTTAAAATTAAAATGAGATGCATTAGGGGGGAAACTATGCATAATGGTACACTTGTTCTTATGGGATTCATGTGATCTGTAAGTTTTCTAACACGGTTATTCTCATTATTCTCCTTTTATAAGCTAAAATTTAGAACTATTGATTTGATGACTAATTGTTGAGTGGATGGCCAATCTTGACTCGATGACAATCCTTACCTTCTTGTCTAAATAAAACGTCAATGATAACGTTAGAATTTGAACGAAACCTCCACTTGAAAGTTCTAGAAAATTTTCTCAACTTTCCAGTAAAACAAATTGAGGTCATTTGGACTTCTAGAACTCAAGATATTGGCTAAACACTGAACAATGTCTGAGCTTGAGATTTAATTCAGATTTCTACGTTGTTGCTAAGATTTGGACTTCCAAATAGTATAATTGAGTCTTGATTTCCCATAAAAGTTTTAGACCTATGTCTTAGCATTCCTTCCATATAAAGTAAACCTAAATCTGAGATGTACAACTCTAGATGTGATCCTATTACCTAACAGTGTTCCAGTTTGAACTACATCAGCATCTCTTTTTTAACTTTGGCCCTTTCTTTGTCCTTTCAATTTCAATACATCAACTCATCAATCAATTCTTTCAATTATGTGTTAGGCCTGCATTTACGATGAACATTTACCATAAATTAAAAGTATCGTATAGTATCAGACTTGTATTATAAAACATACTTTAGTTAAGGAGTTATTGATATTTCAAGAGCAAAATAATGATATAAAACCTTGATAAAAATGCACTTTTAAATATTAATCATAGAGCTCATGCATACTCTTTAGTAGCAATAATATTGGAATACATTTTATCAAATTTAATCTTTAAAGATGGTTCAATATCAACATGTCTAAATTTTTTTGCTCCTTTAATTTCCTACATAAAAGAAATAAAAATAATTAATGCAACATCATGTATTTAAAAAGTTTATGAAATCTGATAACAACAAATGAAATTGTTAAGATCATGAGTAATTAACTTGAATTTTCACTTTTCACCACTCATCACTAGTTGAAATTGTTTCTAATTCACTACTCCAACTTACACCAGTTTTAGAAATCAGCTTTATCCATATCCTTTAATTTTTTTTGCATCCATTCCATCTGTTTTTCAATTGTAATTTAGTGAATGCATGGCTAATTTTTTCTTTGAATGATGTTATAAGAAATTTTCATTATGTTTTATCAAAATAAGTATTAGATCTTATTTTCATATCAATGGCCGTAATACATAGGTCACAAAATATATACAATAATTCTTTTGCCCAAACAGCCTTATCCATAGATTCAAAACCTTCCATTGTATCTTTTAAAACATTTAACAAAAAGAAATAAGCAATGATATCATGTTTATAAGCAAAAATCAGCATTAACATAAAAACAAAATACTTATTATAAATAATAAGAAAAACTAAAAAGTATAAAATGCATGTTGTGGAACACTTTAGAGTATTGAATATATTTAACAATGCACACTTTAATAACCCTTTTTTAAGAAAAACTAAATGCATAAGGTGTTGATGCATTGTAGTTTTAATAATTTGTAAGACAAGACAAAACAAAACAAAAGATAGTAGGCTATAAGGGGTAATTATATAGATGACTATAGTGAATTTTAGTTTGTTCTTTCCCCGACTTTCTACTTATTGGATTTCAAGTTTTGAATCTAACTACCTTATCTATTTGTTGGGGTTATTATTGAAGCAATAATTATTCATGTTAGAATTTCAATTATGTTTAAGCATTGGATGCTCTTGGATTTCTTGTTTCCTTTAATATCAAATGGAAAGCATAAGGGACATATATCAGAGCAAGCATTAAAATCATATGGTATAAACCAAGTGAATTTGTTCAAGACTTAAACATAATTTATACAAATCAAACTCAATCTGTAATTCAGGATTTCAAACACTTCTTTTTACAAATCAAAACCAAATTGCAATTCAAGACTTTCAACACTGCTATCTACAAATCAAGCCCTATCTGCAATTTATGACTTTTTTTTGTTACAAACAAGATGATTATTTACTACTTTATATGAATAAAAAACATCAAAACTTCATCAATTATACAATGCCCTAATTCAATCCTTATAAAACAAAATATTACATTTCTTTCCAACTATATACAAAAAGAAAATAAAGAAGCAACAAGTAAATCAAACTATTAGTTGAACTAAAGGAAACCCATTTTATAGTAGACAAAACCTATGTTAATAAATTAATCAAACATATAAAAATCCATAAAATATGAGTAATTTCAATAGAGAAAAAAATGTATAAAGAAAAATCATCTACTTTTAGGAATAGGTTGTATACAAGTGCAATAATTTGTAGTTAATTAACAACATTGACAATTAATCACAATAAAAAGAAAAATAATAGAGCATCACAAAAATTAAAATTTATAGATAATTAAAATAACTTTTAAGATGGAGATAAGGAAGAAACTCATGGTTACTCTTCTCTCATTTGAGTTTCCCCAACACGGATGTGCTGTTTGTTTTTGCAAATCAAAACAGTAAAGATATGTTAGAAACATCATATGAAAATCTACGTTGAATTTGATCTTGACTTGACTTGAAGACGAATGAAAAAGAAGGTGCAGGGATATAAGATTTCAATTTACAGGAAAAAAAAAACAATACAAAGCTTTGATGGATGAGCTCTAACACGACTAAAAGATTGATGTCTTCTCCCAAGTGCAAGAGTGTCAAAGTAATAAATAACCCAGCAAGACCGGAGTCGAACCATAGGGAGGTTAATTGTACAAATTATAAACAATTATAAACAATAACAATAACAATAATAACAATAACAACAACAATAACAACAACAACAACAACAACAACAACAATAACAATAATAATAATACTAGTAGTAGTAGTAGTACTAATAATAATAATAATAATAATAAAGAAAGATAAGAAGAAGAAGAAGATGAGAACTTGAAGATGGAATATTAGTGTAAGGATTAAACAATGATAATAACAAATGTCAAGGTTAGAGGTTCCACTAATGGTATGTCAAACAAATATACTATAAACTCTTATTATTCAATTGGAAACCACACACAAAAGAGGTTCTAATCAGATTATAGATTGTTAACATGATTACATTAGTAATCTTATTCGATTAATGCTAATACTTGTAAATCTCATCAAGCATTCATGATTATAACTTATGTTAACAACAAATCAAGTTCCTTTCATAGCTCAGGTGTCGGTTATACCATACAGTATGAGCTATGAAAGTGCCAAGCATTTGTTGTACCAAGTGTGATACAACATAAATCAAGATTAGTCATTTAACAAGCAAATTATTAAAGAGTGAACAAAATAACAAATATAAAACATGTTAGTATCAAACATTAAAGTTCATATTAAGTTTATACTATACTTATTCTTACACCATTAGTGTAACCTTTTCACCTTGACATAATAAACTTAGCTAGATATAATGAAAGAGAGAAAAATAAATAAACAAAATAAGAACATAAATAAGATAAAAGTTAGCTAAGTAAATGAAAGGAAATGAAAGGCATAAACTTGATATTAATGAAAGCAAAGCATAAACATTACAAAAAATACAAAGAGAGAAAGCAAAAGCATGATCTTGATTTGGAGACCAAGATGCCTAAATGCATGGCAAATACCTCCTTTAATAGGCCAAAATTGAGAACTATTGATTTGATGACTAATTGATGAGTGGGTGACCAACTCTTGACTTGGTGACAATCCTTATCTTCTCTTGTCTACCCAAAACATCATTAAAAGTTTTGGAAATTGTCTCAGATTGTCTCAGATTTCTTGTGCAAAAAATTCAGCTCATTTCGACTTCTAGAACTCCATATATGTCCAAAATACTGAATAGTGCTCAGGCTGGAGGACAAATTCGGGCTTCTTTGTTGTTGCAACAATTTGGACTTCAAAATGGATTTTTTAGATCTTGGGCTCCATATGGAAGTTGTAGGCCTATGTCTTACCTTTCCATCCATATAAAGTAGACCTAAATATGAGATCTATAGCTCTAGATATGACCCAATTACCGAATAGTGTTCTGGTTTAGATTGCACCGACATCTCTTTTCTAAGTTTGACCATCTCTTTATCCTTTCAATTTCAGTTCTTAAATTCATCAATCAATCCTTTCATTTATGTGATAGGCCTACATTTAAAATGAACATTTACCACAAATTAAAGGTATATTATATTATTAGATATATTATTATAAAACATGCTTTAGTTAAGGAGTTATTGATACTTCAAGTGCAAAATGATGATATAAAACCTTGATAAAAATGCATTTTTAAGTACTAATAAAGCTCATTAATCATTTACAATTACCTATGGTTCAATGAGTCTGGCAAGAAAAACTCTTAGAGAAATAGATGGAGGCAAGTTAGAAGAATCAAGATGAGAGAAGGAAACCTAGGTGAATAAAAAGGCTGGAAAAATTTAAGAATGAGATAATAATGATATATCTTATAAATGGTTAGCAATGGTATTGTTGATTTTGACACGACTAAAAGATTGATGTCTTCTCCCAAGTGCAGTAGTGTTGAAGTAATAAATAACCCGGCAAGACCGGGGTCGAACCATAGGGAGGTTAATTGTATAAATTACAGATAACAATAATACAACAATAATAACAATAATAACGATAATAACAACAACAACGACAATAAGCACCGAAACTTTGCTTCAATCAACTAGCAAATATCTTCAGGAATTCCATGATTCATTAACAACCTCAATCTTGCACATCTAGCATGGTAAATTTTTATAATCGCATTCTGAGGTAGAGCGGGAAAATATTTTTTCAATTTTTCAAGATTAGTGTCCATTATCAAATGAGAAATGGAAGAGAGATTCAAAGAATTGCACAAATATATACACAGATATCAGTTATTATGGGAAACTGAAAGAATCGACTTAAGTCACGGAGTACTGTTATCCGCCATTTGACCGGAGTGAGAGAAACTAGGCAAAATCACTCAAAAAGAAAAACAAAAACAATATGAGAAAAACAAAATCATCAACCTTTATCTACAAGATCATTCAAACCAGTTTATTCATTTTTACTAGGAAAATTATCAAAGTAAGCTTTCAAACGATGTCCATTTTCCTTAAAAACATTGTCATTCTTTGGATTCTCAATATCAAAGGTCTCATTATCAAAGGCCCTATAAAGATTGCTTCATCTTAATCTTAGCTTTCTAGGAAATAAATGGAGATGAGAATTATAAAACAAAACTTTTTGACCAGTATTAACTTGTTGATAATTTTCACAAGATTTGATAACTCCCACATGCTTCAGAATGACAAATTCGTTCAAAAACGTTTCTTTGTTTTGGGTACGCCAATCAACTGGCAAATCTCCTGAAGCAAAAAAATTGATATTTTTATCATACCAGGGCATTGGACTAAGAGAAAGTAAGGATTCATCAAAAAAATAATCATTAATTGGTGTGATGTCAGATGTTGAATTTGTTGTCACTTTTGACAGAAGATCTGCATCAACATTTTCGGTGCGTTTTTCATCCATGATTTCCTCCTAAGAATAAATCATTTGCAAATCTTCACATTCATCCAACTCATTTTTACTTAAAGTAGATTCAACTTGATTATAAACTAATTCATCAATATGACCTATTTCTTGTAAATCATTATCATCTCCAAGTTGCTTGCAAATATTGAAAATATTCATCTCCAATGTCATGTTTCTAAATGATAGTTTCATTAGTTCATTCCTCCAATTAATTAATCTGTTATAAAGTTGCAAGAAACGAACGTCCTAAAATAAAAGGAGATGAATTACATGCTTCAACAGGTTTTGTGTCCAAGATAATAAAATCCACAAGATAAATGAATTTATTAGACTTGTACTAATAAACCTTCGACTATTTCTCTAGGCACTTTTATAGATCTATCGGCAAGTAAGAGAGTTACAGAAGTTGGTTTTAACTCACCTAGATTAAGACTTTAAAAAACTAAATATAGAAGTAAATTCACATTGGCTTCAAGATCAAGTAAGGCTCTTTCAATTTTATGTTCTCCAATAAAGCAAGAAATTGTAGAACAACCAGGGTCTTTATATTTCAAAGCATTATTGTTTTGAAGAATGACACTTACTTGTTCGGCTAAAAAGGCCTTCTTTTTCACATTCAATTTTCTTTTCATAGTGCACAGATCTTTCAAAAATTTAGCATAGGAAGAAACATGTTTACTAGCATCCAAAAAAGGTATATTGATCCTTACCTGTTTGAAACTTTTAAAGATTTCAGAGTTATTATTGACTTTCCTTTGTTTGTTCATAGCATGAGGAAATGGAAGTGCTAGCGGGGAATCAGTCATTTCTTTGCAATTTTCAGATTCAACCCCTTCCTTACCCTCAGAGATTGACTCATCATCTTTCTCACAAGGTTCGAGAGTGGGTTTTTCAAAAACCTTACCACTACGAAGAGTAGTGACTGATTTGACTTGATCAATGTGTTGGCTTCTAGAGCTACTTACATTTGCATTGTATTGCCCCTTGGGATTTTGTTGTGGTTGAGATGGAAACTTACCTTTCTCTTAGAAATTGAGAGTAGATGTCAATTTTGCAAGAGTATCTTTAAAATCTATCATGTTTTGAGTAAGTTGAGTATTGATTGTCTCTTACTTTTCAATAAATGCATACAATGTTTCCTCAAGATTTCTTCTAGGAGGTGGAGCATAAGGAGGTGCATATCCATAAGAATTTTGAAAATTGTGATGTGCTTGAAACGGTGGTTGTGAAGTTTGTACATTGTTATTATCACTCTTCCAACTACAATTTGGGTGATTTCTCCAACCAGGGTTGTATGTTTGCGAGTATGCGTTGTGGTTGGCCCTTTGAAAACTATTTAAAGCATGGGCTTGTTTATGGAGACATTCCTTAAAAGAAGGCAAAGTTGGACAGTCATTGCTTGAGTGTTTATTTGTTTCACATATTTGACACATAATGTTTTCAATAAATTTTAATTGACCGCTCTTTTTCAATTCTAGCTAAAGATGCAAATTTCGCTTGGAGGTCATCATCTTCCCTAAGGTTGTACATACCACTAGATGTATGAGGTTGATTTTTACCTGGTGCCTCATAAGTACCCACAGTGTCTTAATTTTAAGCATTTTCAGCTAACAAGTCTAAGCACTTCATTGTTTCATCAGGGTCTTTATCTACAAAAGTTTCATTGCAAATCAATTCAACCATTTGCCTATCTTTAGGTGTTAACCCTTCATAAAAATGTGAAACTAATCTCCCTGTTTCAAAACCATGATGAGGGCAAGTATTAAGTAAGTCTCGATACCTATCCCAATATTGGTAAAAATTTTCTTTGGGTTTTTTAGTGAAAGTAGTGATTTGTCTTTTGAAAGAGTTTGTTCTGTGAGATGGGAAAACCTTCTTTAAAAATTGTTGTTGCATTTCATCCCAAGCATGAATAGATTCTGGTCTCAAATTTTGTAGCCATGTTTTAGCTTTATCTTTTAATGAAAAAGGAAAAAGCTTTAATCTGATGGTGTTCATGCTACAATTTAAATCATTATATGTGTTGCAAACCTCCTCAAATTCCCTTAAATGCAAGTATGGATTTTCTATTTCTAAGCCATGAAAAGAAGGTAAAAGTTGAACAATGTCTCGCTTAAAATTAAAATGAGATGCATCAGGAGGAAAAACTATGTTTGATGGTGCATTTGTTCTTATGGGATTTGACACGACTAAAAGATTGATGTCTTCTTCCAAGTGCAGGAGTGTTGAAGTAATAAATAACCCGGCAAGACCGAGGTCGAACCATAGGGAGGTTAATTGTACAAATTATAAACAACAACAATAGTAACAACAACAACAATATTAGTAGCAATAATAATAATAGTAGTAGTAGTAGTAGTAGTAGTAGTAGTAGTAGTAGTGGCAGTAGTAGTAGTGGCAATAATAATAAAAAAAGAGAAGAAGAATAAGAAGAAAAAGAAAAAGATAAAAACTTTGAGATGGAATATTAATGTCAGGATTAAACAATAATAATAACAAATGTCAAGGTTAAAGGATCCACTAATGGTATGTCAAACAAGTATAGTATAAACTCTTATTATTATGTTAAGGTGAAAAGCTTACACTAATGGTGTAAGAATAAGTATAGTATAAACTCAACATAGACCTTGATGATTGATATTAACATGTTTTGTATTTGTTATCTTGTTCACTTTTAATACTTTGTTTATTAAATGGTTAATCTAGATTTATGTTGTATAACATTTGGTACAACAAATACTTGACACTTTCATAGTTCAACCGTATCGAATAATGACACGACTAAAAGATTGATATCTTCTCCCAAGTGCAGGAGTGTCGAAGTAATAAATAACCCGGCAAGACCAGGGTCGAACCACAGGGAGGTTAATTGTACAAATTATAAACGACAATAGTACAACAACAATAACAATAATAATAACAACAACAATAATAATAGTAATAGCAATAATAACAACAATGACAATAACAATAATAACAATAATAATAATAACAGTACTAATAATAATAATAATAATAATAATAATAATAATAATAATAAAGAAAGAGAAGAAGAAGAAGATGATGAGAACTTGGAGATGGAAAATTAGTGTAAGGATTAAACAATGATAATAACAAATGTCAAGGTTAGAGGATCCACTAATGGTATGCCAAACAAGTATAGTATAAACTCTTATTATTCAATTGGAAACCACACACAAAGGAGGTTCCAATGAGATTATAGATTGTTAACATGATTACATTAGTCATCTTATTCGATTAA